CATTAAGACCCAATAAAATCGAATCAAGACCATTAAGGCCCAATAAAACCGAATCAAGCCCATCAAGGCCCAATGAAACCGAATCAAGCTCATTAAGGCTCGATAAATAGATTAAGGCCCAATAAAACCGAATAAAGTCCCTTAAGGCCTAGTAAAACGGAATAAAGCCTAATAAAACCGAATCGTCGAGTATATCTACATTGATCCAATCGTGGTTAGCAGCCACCACACATCATGTATACATATGTATATAACAATTACAACATCGTGTAAATATATATATATATATATATATATATATATATATAACACGGGGCGACGGGTATATATACTTATAACACATGCACATGTGTACATATAATGCATATCGCGGTTAGCRACCACAACATATATATACACAAACAACACATATACATGTATACATACGACACCAACACATAAAAATATGTACATATACAACATAAAAATGAGAAAATAGGAAAAATAGGAAAATCCCTCGCTGATCAGCGAGGGATCAGCGAGGGAACTTATTKTTTGACAATTCCCTYGCTGATCCCTCGCTGATCAGCGAGGGAATTGTCATATTTTCTTATTTTCTTGTTTTTTATGTGTTATATGTACACATTTTTATATTTAGGTATCGTATGTATACATGTGCAWGTGTTATAAGTATATATACYCCTTCAACCCGTATTATATACATATGTTTACACGATGTTKTATGTGTTATATGTATATATACCCGTCAGCCCGTATTATATACATATGTTTACACGACGTTGTATGTGTTATATGTATATACACCCGTYGGTCAATGTTATATACATATGTAACTGGTTGCTAACCACGATTGGATCAAYGTATATATGTTTAAACRTATGTGTATATGTGAATGTATAGATAATGTGTGTGTTATATGGGGATTTATTCGGTTTTATTGGACTTTAACCCATTTAAGTGGTACTTGTTCGGTTTAATTGGGCCTTAATCCATTTACCGGACTTTATTGAGTTTATCGGATCTTAATAAACTTTATTCAGTTTTATTTGACTTTATTTGGTTTTATTAATTAATTTTTGTAAATTATAATAAATAATAAATAATTGAAAATTCAATAATCAATAATTAAAAATTAATAAGTAATTAAATTTGTAGCTATAAAATAAAAAAATGGCGAAAGTCAGATTCGCTCGCTGATCTCTCGCAGATCAACGATGGATCAGCGAGGGAATCTRATTTTGCCAATTCCCTCRCTGATCCCTCGCTGATCAGAGAGTGAATTGGCAAAACCATTTCCCTCGCTGAKCCCTCGCTGATCTGCGAGGGATCAGCGAGGGAATTGTTCTATTTTCTTATTTTTCTTGTTTTTTAATTGGGGCTTAACCCATTTAACTGGATTTTGTTCAGTTTTATTGGGCCTTAATCCATTTACCGGGATATATTGAGTTTATCAGGATTTAATGAACTTTATTCAGTTTTATTTGACATTGTTCGGTTTAATGGGCCTTTATGGGATTTATTCGGTTTTATTGGGCCTAATCGGCTATATTAATTAATTTTTGTAAATTCTAATAAATAATAAATAATTTTTGTAAATTAATAAGTAATTAAATTTGTAGCTATAAAATAAAAAAATGGCGAAAATCAGATTCCCTCACTGATCCCTCGYAGATCAGCGAGGGATCAGCGAGGGAATCTGATTTTTGTCAATTCCCTCGCTGATCCCTCGCTGATGGGTCTATACGAATGTGTATAGACTATCGTGAACTGAATAAGTTGACAATCAAAAACAAGTATCCCTTAC